TAGAAAATACAATTAATGATGATCTAAAACTTTTTGAAAAATGGCTTTGCCCAAATTTTCTTTCAGTTAACCCGAATAAAATTGAATGTATTACGTTTCATTAAAAACATAAGCGGGATATTACAATGAATATTTCTATAAAGAATACACAAATAAAACAAGCTATGCAAATTAAGTACATTGGTGTTCATGTTGACAATACATCGAAATGGGATATAAATATTGACAAACTTATTGAAAAAAAATCTGCAATTGTTGGAGTACTACGTAGATGTCCAAAATTGAAATCAGAAATAGCAAAAATCTTTTTGGACTCACATATTCTTAGCTAGATTAAATATTCATCAGATATATGGGGAATATTGGACAAAATTCGATTTATTATAAAGGTATAAAACTTTAATGAACAAAAATTCTGGATTAATTTGAAAAAATATTTATTGTTTGTATAGATATATTATCTGATGAGTACATTTATGTTCATGTTGATAATCATATCCAAGCATATATGCATGTATATATGTGTATATGTATGTACATTTATATTTTTTCCATGTTCCAGTTCTGATTTATCTTTTCGTGTGTGCTTTGTTCGTACTTAGTTATGTCACAGCTAGTTTTTTCCCCGCTATGAACATTGTATGTTTCTTGGAAAAATAAATTGTTATTATCATTTTCAAAATTAAGGTGGCTGATTTGACCTAATCCATGAGACTATTTGATTATGTTAATTCGCACGGAATGTTCCTTATACTGAGCAATTGAGCATTTTTTTGCTATACTATGGATCGCCGACATCAAGAGTTTCAAATGGACAAGCATTGGATAGATTGCAGCTAAAAGGAAAAAAAATTGTGTTGTCCAGTTTCACTGTCAGGAGCCTTTGGTCAAACCATTTTTTGAGCAAGTGGAAATCTGTTTCTACGTTCTTTTTCAAATCAAGCCATGTGTCTGCCTCATAAAATAACGTAGCATCGTCTGCGTATCCAATTATTTTCCCAACGCTGTCCAAATTGAATAATTCATTCAGATATAAATTGAAAAGCAGATTGAAACAATAATAGGCAGGAAAAATAAAAAAAACAGGTCAAAAATTATACAGGTCACATTTTGAAATATTCGTTTTAAAGACAAATATGGAAGCAATAAATCAGAAGAAGAGATTTTTTTACTATCCTTATACAAGGAATTGGGCAAATTTCGGATATGTAGTTGGTTACCTCGTTTAGACGCAGATGGCACGATGACATATCTGTTGTTTGTTGTCCGCTTCAGCTTTGTTCGAGGAATGATACTCTGAAGAAATTCGATTTTCAATTATCGGAAATCATCGACTTTATGTTGATGATAGACACTACCTTGCACTGACGAGTGGCCAAACAGCCCGAAACCTGTGTGCAAGTGTGTTCTAATATTTGAAAATCTATTGCGGCAGTTGTATCGACAAAAGCATATGCAGGAATAACTTCAGTGAAGAATCCTGCACTGACGCCTGTCGGATATAATCCAACGCCCTTCGTGGTATTAGCCAGGGGAGGAGTTGTTTTCTGATAGGTGTCAGTCCATTAACCTACTGTGTAGGGAAGGGAGACTGGCCTGAACGAAGGGTACTTTTATATGATTTGAGATAGGATTGAATGTTGAAACAATCAAAAATAAAAATACTTCAACGAATCAGATGTAAATATTGGATTGAGCTACTTAGAATACAAGAGTAATGCCAAAAAAATATGAAACCTAGATAGTTAAAGTTGTAAATACGGTAGGTTTTGAATAAAATGAATCATTTTGACCTGAAATGGAAATTAATTGTACAGCTGAAAACGCCAACTTGGTTGGTGGAACACGCATCGTGAAGAGTGTTGCAGTTCTGGCGTTTGAGAAAATTGCTCGAAAAGTGCTCGATTTGAAATGGAAATTAGAATAAGAATACAGTAGAAAGTAATTATCAAAATAAATGATGGAAAAATAGCAAAAAATATGAAAACGATATAAAATCAAGAAATGTTCCGTTTCGATTGTAGTATACACATCATCCGAAAACAATTGTGAATCGTCTTTCGATTGTCACCTGGGTTACCTTTAGGTTGATTATTTTATTTCACTGTATTTTTATTTTTCATCGATCTAACCAGGGGAAAATCCGGAAATGGTCTTGAAAATCCTCCCACTTAGCTGATCTGTAATGCCACACTTTACGCGGCTTAAATTGTTCCCCAACATTTATCGGTATTTCACTCAACACTGAAATTGATTTATGATCAGTGTGTGTAAATTTCTGGATTGGTTGTTAGGTATATATCCAGAAGACTTGCATATACTCCATGATGGTCAGGAATCCTGGTTGGCTCATTTATAATCTCAGTTAGTCCAATGCTTATTGCAAAAGCCTCAGCTTCGCGACTTTGTCGTTGATATTTGAGCCATTCGATATTGTGGACATTGAAGTCACCGAATATGGAAATTTCGGCTTTTTGATGATTGAATTGCAGAAATTCAGTGGTGTTTGCAAGTGAATACAATAGTATCCTATATTGTTTAACGCTTGGTGGTCGATAAACGCAGCATATGAATTCAGTGATATTATTTTAAAGTCGATTCGTCTTTAGCCTCAAAATATGCCTCAGTTTTAACGATTACCTCTTCATCGGCGGTAAATTTCTGTTCAGCGAGCATTCTCTTGAGGTCTGAGAACAGGTAAAAGTCACAGGGGATCAGATCTGGAGAATACGGTGAATGCTGAAACAGTTGGAAGCCCAATTCATGCAGTTTTGCCATAGTTTTCGTTGATTTGTGACACGGTATATTGTTTTGATGAAGCAGCACTTTTTTTCTTCAAATGAGCCCGTTTTTCCGCGATTTTGTCCTACAAACGCTCCAAAAACGCTATGTAACTATCATTATCAGTGAAATGAACCAAAATTAGCAGTTATATAAACAAATTATGACCCCAAAAGTCAATTCAATTCTCAACAAACTACCAAATGCGTCACAAAGAATATCACGTGGGCGAGGCATGGTTCGGCTGGTCTCCATCACCACTTCTGTCCTTTTGAGAAATCACCCTCTGTACACCCCTAAGGGGTCATCTATTATGGCACTTTTTCTTGTTCAACCATTCCTGGTCATTGACAATTGAAACCAACAGGGTTTCTCAAGATGTTACGTCATTCCATTGGCCTCTCTCTCAACCCTCAGGGTACGTTAAGATCCTTTTGGCATTTTTCTTTGTCGACGACGTCGATGACAACACCCTTCTGGTCATTGACGATATCCTCTATAAGAACTATTAAGGGTGCACAAGAATTTACGTCATTCCATTGTTCTCTGTGGTACCTTTTAGCCCTTTTTGACAACTCTTTACGTACCTACATCACCCTTAAACTTAAGTGTTGAGAGAACTCGATGGATTATATCTTGTATAGCAGTTATATTACTACTGTCGTTGTTGATGGTTTTCCTTTCACAAGATAGTCGATGAATATTATACCAAAATACTATATCATAACCTTGCCAGCCCACACGTGACCTTTGAAGGTTGGAGCTCAACTAAAAGTCATATGGGTTTGACTGTTAGCACCATCTATGTGTTAGCCTTCTAACTTTTCAGCTTATCTAGTATTCAGTCTAAATATCAGAACAAGGAAAGTCATTAGACAATAACAGACATTGCGATATTTAAAATCATTAAGTGATGTAGAAGGCACATACCTTGAAGTAAACATTGGTTATGGTGAGGATAACTCTCGCGAAGAGTCTTTTATCTGTGATGAATCTATAAAGACATGTCACGTCTTCACCATTTTGTGATTGCTTGTAAATCAGAGTATTCAGTGGTGACCTCAACCAACCTTTGGTTTTCTTCCACGAGGCGAAAATTTCATCACATTGTTTTCCTGGAACTGGTTCTCCAAGTTTACTGTTATTGAAAAAATCATAGTGGGCCCAGTAGTAGAGAGAGGACCTGAAATTGAAGTTTCATAATTTTTTTCACATATAAATTTTTATAAATTTTTAAAAGTTTGAAAATGTCCTCATATATTGTATAAGTTTGAAAATGTTCTTATAGGACGAAACTGCAGTAATGATAGTTACAAATGAAAGTGGTAAAAAAAAGGAACTTCAATTTCTACTACCACGTAGTAACGGCTACATCCATCAATTAATTGATTGATTAATCATTATCTTCATCACAAACATGTCTCTGTGATCAGCTGTAATGGCGTCATAGCAACAGAATTCAGAGTGGGGACGGAGTGAGAGGGTAATAGATAGAGAAAAAGTGAATAGTGAATAGAGGAATACAAACTCAGAGAGGAAAATATAGATATCATACAGCTGCACGCATTATACTTTATCGACGAATTTTTGTTATTTCGGCTTGCGGAAATCGTCAGATTATATATTTTTCGTTATCCTTGAATGATTTCCTTCAAAATGGAAAAAATTAGTTACGCTCATAAATGTCGGAATAATGTTATTTTTTTACAACTTTGCTGCCCTCCCCTTTCGTTACGTCACTCTCAAATTGTCAGATTACTGGAATATACACTTTTTAGCAGGTAACTAACTCACCCTATCTTAATCCGACGTGCTCGAAAATTTCTGATGATCATTTTTTTTACTAATCTGATCCTGTATCCCTCACAGGCGGCTTCATATATGGGGATCATATTTGGTGGAGGTACTTAAGCGGGTACAAAGTATCCCCCTGTATATTAATCTGCCGCGCTTAAGCAAATCCCGAAATCACTGCTTGGGCTCCTCTATTATTATAAAAGTATTGAAATTAACACAATTGTCCGCATTAGATTTTGATATCTTGACCTGTTTGTAAGTAAGGGGAATGACAACTCTTCAATTCAAATGATTTCAGTATACACGTTCCACTTACCTAGGAAAATACAGCCTAATTATTTCATCTTCCTCTCCCTGCATAAGATATGTACAGCTTGTCTGAGGCGGGTACCAATGTGCTACTGATAAAAATATCCCTTCCGAGTCCCCAGAAGCCTTTAGACTTTCTGAAGATAAAAACCAATCACAGGTACCATTTTTGCTTCCTGCTGTATCTACATGACCTGGCCAGTTTCCCACATTGAAATGGAAACCGGTGTTGAGTAAAGGCCCTGGAATTGAATGACAGATGTAATCTAGTTATTCATACATCATCATGAGATGATCTCAACCAATTCATACACGATAATTTGTCATTTTTATATTCAATTCATATTCACTTTTACAGATGAAATTATACGTTTGTGAGAAGCGCCCTCATTTTTTTATGTGAAATTTGTAGTATGTATTACACAACCAAAGTCCATCCCAACACTTATTGATAACACCTGGGCTGAAAAGTAGTCCCAGGCCTAATGAAGAAAACGCGTTTTTCAGTTCAAAATTGATTTTATTCATCAACTTAATCTCCATCAAGAGCCACACAATCATTTCAATACCACTATTGTAGAACGATTTATCTTTTGCCTTAAAATAGGCCTCAGTTTCAGTAATAACCTGAAAGGACAAAAACTTTCTTTTCCAAAAATTGATTTCTCCTAAAAATATTCCCTTACAATTTGAATATTTCAGGATATTTTGAAAGCGATTGGAAATATTCTAGAAATTGAACTTATGTTGAATTAAACAGATTATCTTTTGCTGTTACCGAGATAGCAACAGTCTTCTATTTTATCATCTATCAAAAAAACACAAAATTTTATTCGAAATCAATTTTTTTTTTCGTTTTTATCTTTCTCCTGAGATGGCACTATTCTGTGAGTTCATTTGAATTGTAATTTTAGGTCTCTGACGTTGGATCGTAGACTACTTTGTATTCGAAATTTCAAATTTTTTGTTGGAATTACCAAAATATAAGTTGTTTCGAAAGTTCTGTCCGTTTTCAAAAGTCCACTTCAAACTGTAATATCTCAGTGAATATTCATTTAATTCAATCGAAACAAGCACCATTTGAATCAGTACACTTTTNATATCTGATTTACTACTTTTATTAATTCTGTCAGCACGAAAATTGGCTGTTCTGCTCGAAGGTCGTTTTTTCCTGATTCGCAAAATGTCTCACAAGTGAAAAAGTTATCGAAGTGCTTGAAAATTTTGTAGTTGGCTGGTAAGAAGTCTGGAAAGTATGGTGGATGAGGCAGAACTTCAACGCTAAATTCGTTCTAAGATGGTGATTTGTGATACATGCGGACGGGCATTGTCGTGGAGCAGGATGGGACCTTGTCTGTTTTGTTTTTCTTAAGGACAAAACACAGGCACTGCAGGAAAATCTTTGAGGCGCTCTCAGAGTGGTGCCTGTGCGAAAGAAGCGATTCATATTGGATTTGATTCGCTGAAAGACGTTCTCAGGAAGTTTATTCCACATAAACGCAGTTCTCCAGATGAAAGAGTTCTCAAATAGTGGAGTTCGTGGTGTACTGAGTTGAACCTCAAAACGATGAGCAGCTACAGTCCATCGCGTATTTCTGATATGTACCGCTCTTGGTGGGATCGAATGTGCCAAGTCACTCAAACACTTCCCGTGAAAGTATCTATAGAAGAGAGACAAATCTTCAACCTTCCTTCGATGTTTCAGGCTATCAAGATTGCACGTTATGTTCGCGTCTTCTATCAAGCGGATGGCTCTTTTCTGGATAGAATCCATATGGAATGACGAGACAAGTGTGCTGTCGTCAGCAAAGCAATATATTGGATTCTTGATTTTTCCCAATAAGTCGTTGATATACAATAAAAAGGGGGTTGGAGACAATATGGATCCTTGGAGAATACCAGCGTTGATGGTGTAAGTATTCGAGATATATCCATCGACAGCCACTTGTAGGGAACGTTCTTCCAGGAAGCTGAAGAGCTACACACAAAAATGATCTGACAAGCCATAACATCGAAGTTTGGCCACAAACCCTCATGCGACATACGGTCAAAGGCCTTACAAAAATCAAGCGCAAGAGCTCTTGATTTTCCATATTTCTGGATTGCGTCATTTCAACTATGGGTCGCCTGTTTATCTTTGTTTTCGAAAGCCATATTGATGATCGCTCAAGATGTTGAAACCTTTCAAATATTTGAGGATACGGTGGCATACGACATTCTCCATGATGTTTGACATCACTGTTAGCAAAGCGACATGTCTATAGTTATTTGGAAGATGTTTCTTGCCCTTTTTGGAAATAGGCTGAACGTGAGTGATCTTCCAAAATGAAGGAAAAAACCCTTTCTTGTAAGACAGGTTGAAAAGTCTGCAAAATGTAGTTACATATTTCTACTGACATTCAAGTTTGAACCTCTCGGTAAACTCAGTCCCTCGTTGGGCACCAACATTTTTTTCAGTTAATTGAATGAGTATTTTGAATACTCTTTACTATGTATTTCAAAATATTAATTATTTTGTAATTTTTTTTGGCAAAACATGGTATTTTTAATATTTAATATCGCATGAATTACCTGATAGTACTCAAATTCTGGCAACATTGAGATAAAGTATGGTGGTCGTTATTTCAGAACGAAACTCAAATCTTATTTTATACAGAGTATCTGAAAAATACGTCTCAATTTGTATCTTTGAAAAACTACCATAACTATTTTTTTTTTCAAATGGAGCACCCTGTATATCATTCAATTTTCGAATTCAACCTACCAATGTGAACAACTTTGATCAACTATATCCTATACCTATCTCTGACCGTTTATGAAATATGAATTTTTCTATACTTTTTTGCTTTTATACAAATATAACACTTCAAATACAAAATTCAGCGAAAAATTTATTTATTGAACATTTATATTAGTTCAGAAAGGTTTAATGGAATACATGAATGAAATTTCATAGTGGGTGTACGACAAACATTACTATTTTGACAGAAGAACGAACACTTTTCAAAATTAAATCGATAACAAAATTAATTCCAAACTAAAAAACAAGAGATAATATTGTGAAACTAGCTTCGCAATTTTTTGAAATTTGATGCGAACATGACAAAAATTCAGTAGCTCAGGTGCTTGAAATTCTGACCATTCACTTGTAAACATTGATGGATTGATGTTCGATTTCCTAGAAGGCACATCTAACCCGATCTTTCAGTTCCTGTTTCGTATCGATAGGTGTTCTATACACCTATCGGGGAGTCAGATCCGGTGATCCATCCAACTGATACCAACAATTCCGATACAAGTTCAGGGGCAAATTGTCTAGAAAATCACTCATAGTCGATTTCAGAATATCTAAATATTTTTCGGAATTCAACTTTTCTTCATAAATGCAAATAGAAACTTTATCATCCGTGAGCATACAAAAAACATTAGAACTGAATGTTTGTAGGAATCCCCTTTGTCTAATGAAATGGCGATTTTCTGAAGCCCAGAAGTGATTATATCGACGATTGAATATTCCCTCACCTGAAATAAATGAATAAAAAACGAATTTAAGATTTTCAGAGTTCAAATTATTATTATTATCCATCTTCACTATTCAATATGACAGTCGAACTATTTGAACAAGTTGGGAAATAAAGTTTTTGGCTTTCTACTACTCCATCTTGATACAAAAAAAAGGGGATGAGGGAATCTTCCAAAGAAAGGAAGGAAATAATCAATTTGAAAATAAGTAACTCTATACATGGATGTGTAGATCATGCAAAGAAGTAACTTTCAGACACAAACTGAAAGAAAGTCCTCCTGAAACAGCTACTTTCAAATAAACATTGAATTACACGAAAGAATTCTTTTGATATTCGAGTAGATGATTGGAAATAGAAAAAGATTCACCATATGTATTGAATTTTTCAGCCTGATTTAATAATATTCGAAAGTATTTGTAAAAAAAAACATCTCAGTCTGTCAATTTTCAATCTAAAGGAGTAAATTTCCAAAGGCTTGAGACCTACACTATTTTTGCAAAGCTGAAATTTTGAGAATGTGTGTATTATGCACTCAATTTTCAACTTTATTGGAAATTTTATGCTTGCATAAGAGCAAATTCCTTTAGAATTCGTACATATCCCATAAACGGTCTGAGATAGATATAGGACATAGTTGATCAAAGCTGTTCACATTGGTTGGCTAAATTCGAAAATTGAATAATATACAGGGTGTTCCATTTGAAAAAATTAGTTATGGTCGTTTTTCAAAGATACAAATTGAGACGTATTTTTCAGACACTATGTACAAAATAAGATTTAAGTTTCATTCTGAAATAACAACCACCATACCTTATCTTAATATTGCCAGAATTTGAGTTCGGTGTATCAGTTAATTCATGCGATATTAAATATTGAAAATACCATGTTTTCGCCAAAAAAAATTACAAATTAATAATTATTTTAATAACGGTGAGAGATAGGTATAGAACATGGTTCACAAAAGTAATTTGGGTTTCGATGCAGAATTCAAAAATGATATAATATATAGGGTGTTCTATTTGAAATTTCCAAGTTGATGTCTGTTACATGTAGATGTGGCAACAATGCGGTGATGAAAATATTTTCAAACGATAGATCTCAGCCATCGACATCGGTAACCAAACTTTGAAACTCCCATCTTTTTTTATTCTCTAGATACGTCTAATAGACCATCGTATATGGAATACCCTGTATATATATTGAATTCATCCAAAGTGAATGTTCCTCAGCTATTATCATCACACAGGGTGATTCTTGAGGGGAAGTTCGACAAATTTCAAAAGTATCGGATTTGAATCCTGAAAATTCGCGACAAATAGTACTTGATGACGATCTAATCATTGAAAATACTTTCAACTCATCCCCACTTTCGGTCATGAAAGAAGTTGACAGAAACTCCTTTATTTAATGTGGAATGTTTATTTAAACAGTATGTTCTATTTTATATCGTTTTATGAATTTCATTTTGAGAATGGAGCCCTTTTATCTTTCCCAAACAGGACCCATTATCATCGAAAGATGAATTTCATTCTAATTAGCTGAATCACGTTGTCAAAAATTCAAGATTATTTGATAAATCTTACGTATATAATTTAGAAACGTTTGTGTTACTGAGAAAATTGAAAAATGGCGACTCACCTGCTGGCGATGAAACAAACTCCACGAACAAATCTTGTGAAGTTCCAATAATCGAATAGGGGAATTTTCCCATTCCGCAGAATGTCCCAATGACAGGACTGTACTCGTTTTTTCCGTCGTGAATTTTTATATAGTCGTAAGGACAGCTTTTCTCTCCTGTAAAAACAGTGCTTATGAACGATGATAATCGATTTCTTCATTAACGATACGAACATTGAATACACTTTTCTCATATATTATGTATCATTATTTGTCGACTGAACTTCCCTAAATAGACATATTTTTTACTACACCTCTTATTAGTTTTCCTGAAATTTTAAATCTTGAGTTATTTCAACCATACTTGCCATTTTGTCCAAATCAATATGTGAAATCATTTTGAATTCATTAGGATTATTTTGAATGTTTCATTTTGAATATATGGAATTTTTTAGTTAAATGAATAAAAAAATTGTTGAATTTTTATACGAATTGATGGATGTAGTCGTTACTACGTAGTAGAAGATTATTATGAAAAATGAGAAATGAAACTTTCTATATCTTTTTACCACTTTTATTAGTGACTAATGTTGTTATTGCAGTTTCGTCCTATAAGGACAGTTTCAAACAATTACAATGAGCAAATAAATCATAATGTTATCAGTTTTATATCTACTGTAGGTAATAATAGAGGTCCTTAACTTAATTGTGTACCTGAAACTTGTTCACCTGTGACAATTTGGATACGCTATTTTGAAAACTGGTGAGTAAACTACATCGATTTGTATATTTAGCATATTACATCCACTATGCTTATGAATTTTTAAGGATATTGACTACATTGCCCAACATAAACATTATTACACTCCGGACATTTAAGCTTATAAACTTTAGATTTATTTATTTTGTCCACTTCATCTTTGACATTTAAAAGGAAGTTAGATAATCTAACATGTATTCTGAATGCCACTTCCACATTGTTTTTTTTGAAAAAACTCCACAATTTTATCTGTTCTTTTACCAAAGTATGTTAGAGTTACAAATTTTTTGATTTCTGGTTGTTTGATCATGGGGTATATTAATCTGTAAGCAAATTTGAGGCGTTGTTTTCTAATCTGAAGAAATGAACTTCAAATGTTTGAGCCAGTCTTGGATATACCTACACAGTAGGTTATATGAACTGACGCCTATCAGAAAGCAACTACTCCACTGGCTAATACTACGAACGGCGTTGAATTATATCCGACAGGCGTCAGTGCAGGAATCTTCATAGAAAATTTCCTGCATATGCAATTGGCAATACAACTGAAAGAGTCGACCTTCAATTTTGGAACAGGCGCACTTGCAGACCGGTTTCGGGCTCCTTAGCCACGCGTCAGTGCAAGATAGTGACCATCGTCAACCTAAAGTCAATGATATTCCATAATTGAAAATCGAAATTCTTCCAGAGTATTTCATTCCTCGTCTTAAGTCTTATTGGTCTTATTGGTTTGTCCTAGAATTTAAATTTATAGTATATGAGAGAGATGAAATCTCACTTATATGGAACAATATCGCCCTCAATGGCGGACAAACAATGTTTCGGAATAAGACACTTGCCTGATTGTCTTTTCAGTACCAATATGAAACACTCAATTCATTCATGAAATTATGCCTTCATGTCTCCAATGTGTTAAAAAATGTACATAATAAAATTCATTTGCTTATTGAATAATTACAGTGTTCCATGTAAGTGAAATTTCACCTATTTCATTTACTGTATTGTATAGCAATCCTGTGAATGATATCCGTTTCCATTCTATAACGTACGTTTGGAATACAAACTGAAACAAGTTAATAGGCGTTTTGTGTATGATTTACACTTTCTATCCTTCTTTGCAAGATTTGTACATTTTTGTATAAAAATGGAAAAGAAGTAAACCAAAATTTCATAGTTCTGGAGTCCAAGAAAATCACTAAGACTGGAGGCTTAGGAGTGGATGTCATAAAGTACCGTGCTAGCAATCGTATTGTTACGTTTTTCCCCGTGGGTTGACCAATAATTGACTACACTGAACAATAATCAAACTCAACTGTATTTCACTTTGAATACAACAAAACACTGAACTTCAACTATTATTCGAATGTCTATCGCCTTACTAGATCGCTCCGCATACCGCACTGTCACTTCCACTTGACTGTCTTGATAGGCGCGTGGATGGCGCTCATATTCTGCAATCAAAAGAGCCGGAACATTCCTCTGAATTCCATCGCTACATCTATAATGGCAGCGAACATCGTACATTCGCGCGCCCTCAGCTACGTCACAATTGGTTTATGGTTACCAGTGGCATCCGGCGTTATTTTTTTAGGGCATGATTCACAACAGTATGTTAAAAGGTGAAACCTCGCTTATCCTTGACACGAACAAATTTCGATTTTTGAAGGTGGTCGTTCGTAGGGGAGGGACAGTTGCTCAAGGGAAAAAACAAATTTTGACACAACTACCTTCTTTTCCAATGGTTCAGTATTAATGATCGTAAAATTAGATTTTTACATAAATAATGTTTGTATGCTGATCATGAAGTAGAGGAGTTAAAATTTCATATACATCATTGGAAAATATATCTAATTTATTACTCTTCATGAAAATACATTGAATATTCTATTTTAGAACATATGTGATAAAAGGTAATATTGATCAAACTGGGTGTATATCATTTCTGATTAATTTTCTCGAAGTTAAAACAATTCACAATAAATCCATGTACTCATACTCTCATAAACTTGCCCTATAACACTTCATATTACAGAGAATTATAAATATCCCACAAAACCAGTCGAATTCCCAAGAAGAATTGAACAGAATCAAAGAGATTGCTGTCAATGATGGATATAAAATATCCATTGAAAACAAAATACTAAAACAAAAACAAAACTGCACAAATTTGAATTAAATCTACCTTCGAATCAAAGAAAATAATGGCCATCATTATTCTACGAACAAAATATATAGTTTCCTTTAGAATCAAAGGCATGAATTTAGCATTCGAGACAAAAAACAATTTGCATTCATTTATAAATAATTTCAAGTCACCATGGGACAAATCCAAAAAATCTGAGGTCTACAAGCTCAAGTTCGAAGACTGCAATGCCTCATATATAGGCCAGACTGGTTGAAGTTTCAACCAGGAGCATTTGAGAAGGTTCAGATTGAATAAACAAGATTTCATCTACGCCATTCATCTCATAGAAAACACTAGCAATTTCACATAAAATCCGGAAAGTCTACACAATCAAAAAGTCTGAAATACGGAGAGAAAAATTTAGCGTGGCGTCTCTTTCGTTGCCTCAAGAAGAATCTTGTTGTTGATAAAAAAATTGAAAATCTATCTCGTTCCCCTAGTTACCATCTATCAATTTTCACATTTACAAATTTCCAACTTCTTTATCAAGAAAATTATCTATTCTACTAATTCAACATTGGCTCTTAAATTTAGATACATTTTCATTCTATAGTTTCGTACAACAATAGTTAACATCAATTTTATGTAAATATAAATATTTTCCTAAAGCATCACTTCATGTCAGTTTCTAAGGAAGTGATTCACAATAATAAAATTTGAATTTTACATCATTCCTAAATAATAACAATTAGTTTATTATGCCTTTTTCGTTTTTTCATCACAGATGTCAATTTAATTCTATTTGACATTTCTTTCTAACCTATATCGGTTATCAGTTTGTTGTATTTCGATTTATTGTGACGTATAAATATCAATATTTGAATTTCCCACTCATATTTGCTTGTTTCCGGTCAAAGCTGTGAGTTTCAGTATATGTACAGGGTGTCCTTGCTGTATTTTTGTATCTGAATTCCTTCGCGATGTTTTTAAAATTCCCATACACTGTTGTATGGAACTCTCCAATAATCAATAATGTTATCAGGCAATTTCTCAAATGCCCCTTGATATCTCTTTCTACCTACCAATGCAACTTTTAGTATTTAAGAAGATGACATCATATACCTATCTAGGTTAGTTTATAACTCGCTCTGAAGATGACACTTCGTGCCGAAATTGCTGTTAGCACCAAATGTTGGTGTTGCGTGAATTATGAAGTATTATTTTCACCCTATACTTTTAATCAAAAAAATATATCTGATTTACTACTTTTCATGAAAATGCATTGAATACTTTTTTCTATAACTTGGGTGAAAATATATTTTTTATTGAACTGAATGTATATTTTTTACTAGTTCGGACTTTCATTTTCTACTGCAAAATAATGAGATTTGGAATCTCTGAAAGAAGAAATAAAATCAAAATCCAACAAACGTTGAATGTGTATTGTTTTCGTTTAAATTATTTTTGGAGATGATATTGCAGTGAAACTGTATATAAACAGACACTCACCTGAAGAAATTGGTCTCATTGGGCAAGTCATTATATTTTCACATCGTTGTCCATCAATGTTAAACTCTTCATTTTCAATATAGAGTTTGATAAAAGGCAACCTCGTATTCAAATAATATCTACATTGAAGATTTCTTGGATAAACGCCTGGATAAGCTGGTGATTGAACATAACATGTTTGCAGTCGGCAATCTCTGAATATTCGTTCACAATAAGACCTGAAAAGTAAACAGATTATATTGTAATTTCACCTCAACTCTTATTTCAGCTGATTCTTCATTAAACAATACCCTGAGTCATTTTAATATGCGAATGGTGATTCTGAAAGTAGAATAGGCGAAGGAATTTTGACATTTCCTCCAAGGCAAAATTAAAATAGTTGTGCTTCATCTTGTGATGTTATCCACATTGGTGCTGAAGAGGCAATAAAGCAAGTTTCTTATTCCGAAACATCGGATGTCCGCCATTGAGGATAACAAAACCAATACTATTACCAAGCACCAAGACTCTACTCGACTCGCATTTCAACAACCAAGTTGGCATCCACAGGAGATAAAAGTGGTTGGTTTGAACCGAGTTTGGAAACTCTTTGGACCGCTGTCAACCTTGAAACGACCTTTACATACGTCACACGATGTAGACTTTGAAGGAGTGTTTTGAGTTCGACCTTGATCGACGTCACAGAACGAAGGCGAGGTAACTTTGAGGTAGTGTTTAGGTATTGACCTTGATCGATTTTGATTCATGCCGTATATTTTCTACGAAGTGCCTTTGACCTCGAATAAGCTCGAGCAAGTTACGCGGCTATCGTAAAGTTCTGAACCTACACCACCCAACGTATCCAAGCTGACTTTGAAGGAGTGTTTTGTGTTTGACCTTGAATGACCTTGATCTACTTCATATGACGCAGACAATGTAACTTTGGAGTAGTGTTTTGGGTTGAATTTTGAACGACCTTGATTCACACTCCATTTCACCCGGCTTTCTTGAAGTTTTAAGAATTAGAATCAGAACATCCTTCAACTGCGTGGACAGGGTAGCTTCTAGACTTCTTGCTTTGACTTCGAATGACTTTCAGCAACATCACATTGTGATTTTAAGCGCTTTATATATTACTGATTAACCATGAAAACCCAGCCAGTGGTAAAGAAACGCCCGCTTCCATGTAACCAAGTTTCATAAATGTTCGGAGGATCACTATTCCAAATACAATTTGAATAACCCAACATATTAGAATATATGAGTAAGAATAGTGTGGTAGATAGTACTACAGAGTACTGAAAGATAGGACGAATTTACCTATAGAAGTAATTATGGAATCACTAGGATTATGTGTACGAAACTGTTATTTACAACTGAAGGACGAATTCTTTACACAAGATGAGGGACTGCCAATGGGATCGCCACTTTCACCAGTTACAGCCATCATATATATGGAGTGGTTTGAAACTCTGGCCATTGAAGAAGCCCACAAGAAACCTCGAGTCTGGTTGAGATATGTTGACGACACATTCATAATATGGAACNGTCATCTTCGGTAACTACGATGTTTCAGACATAAACGTCTGAGGTTGTTCACTCTCTCCACAAAACATGCCTGGTTCCTTTCGGTTTGAAACATCAGTTTTAGCATTTCCATCCACTATCTGTAAAAAAAATAATGATTTACGATTTTTCAAAAGAGTGGAGAATATTTCAATGAAACCATAGCGTTGGGTTTGAATATGATGTAACTCAGATATCCATGTTGTATTCAATGTTTCTGATTGAAATCTGTGCACTCAATGATTTCTAATGAAAATCAATTCGAATATTGCCATCCAAGAGAGGTTTGAATCGATCGTAATGTTCGGGAATCAAAGAGTATCGTGAATTGATTATTATCTGAAGAGTTCGATTAAGAAAAACAAATATTCATGTGATGTTTCCTCCATTCCAAATTGTCAACAAGACATTCAATTTCATATCAATAATAAAACAATACATTATGAACACTTTGAAAAATATAAACAATCGAAAATAATATTTCAAAACACTAAAAGAAGAATCCTCTCAGGTATTCTTCTGGGATACATGATTGAGCTGGGCACGTAGGCTTTTGATTCAGAAAACTTCAACTTGGCAACAATTTTGAAAATTTGCCAGAACAACATATTCCACATTAAATGTGCGTTTTTTCTGGTTATAATTTTGCGAAAAGTAATGTCTTGAGTCATAAAACATTGTTGAAATATCTGTTTGAAGGTGGTTGACAATATTTCATGGTGTATTTCATCAGTTCGGACTTCTATTGTCTAATATAATATAAATTGATTTGATAACCCTGAAAAAAATAAAAAGGATTAACTGAAAATAACAATTTGATTAAACTCACTCACTTTCACAATGGAGAAGGAAATCTACAACGAATTGCCTTTCTTGGACGTATTGGTGAAGAGGACAGACACTNTTGAATTTGATCCTTAAAATCCAGTCTTTTGGTGTTCCTCGAAATGAACGGAAGCGGTACCAACAAGTCATCGCTTTTCCGAAGTTTTCCTGGGTTACCTCTGGACTAGAAACATCCTCGTATATATCCACGGTCTTATTACAAACATCTTTCTTCGAGTCACCTGGAACAATGAGTTTGACATTTATTATTGATTACTTACAAGATCCATACCAAATTATGATTCAATAAACATTACTAAGGAAAATTTATTTGAATGCTGCTTAAAGACTATACTCCATTGTTTGAAATTAAAATAAAAATATGGCCCAGGCCTAATGTAAGGTTGTTCCAAAAGTTTTGTTCATTTTAATGTCAAGTGATGTTGTAGCTTCATATCACAATAAATATTTATTCTACTACCAATCGGTAAAGGATTTTGTACTCTGTACAGGGATACTGATTTTCTTTCAAATTAATTTTTTACCTCTTTTCAGCTTATATGATGTCGTTGAGCGATTTTTGGCCAATTTTAGTGATTGTGTTGATAAAAGAACTATTCGACGTTGGTCTGCGAAATTTTGTTTCGGAGATTTTAGCCCCGAAGATGAGCTCCGAAGCGGTGGACTTAAAGTAATCCAGGACGAGGATTTGAGGAACCTGGTGGAGTCTGAGCCACCACAAACGGTGTGTGGGATAGCAGAAGAACTGGGCGGTTTAAAACGTATTGTAAAGGTCATAGAGCTCAAAAAGTGACTGCCCCACAAAAAGGTTTGTTCCTCTTTGCTTTCGCACAATCAAAACGATCCTTGTTTTGGGTCGCATTGCCCCGTGTGATGAGAAGTATATCCTCTACGACAACAGGAGACGTTCAGGACGGTAGTTGGACACCGATCAGCTACCCAGGCACTTCTCAGAAGCAAAAACCCACCAAAAAGACCATAGTTACTGCATGGTGGTCAGTGACTGGTGTGGTCCACTATAACTTGCTGCAACCAGACCAGCAGAGTCCTATTGTGACGAAATCTATGAAATTTTGCGGAAGTTACGTCAGTAGCAACCGGCACTGTCCAACAAAAGAAGTCGGATTCTGCCGATAACGCCCGTCTTTACGTTTCACAAATCAATGTGTATAAATCAAACAAATTAAACGTCGAAATTCTGCCTCACCCACCATACTCCCCAGACCTTTCGCCAACCGACTACTATCTTTTCAAGTACTTCAATAACTTTCTCACCGGTAGAACCTTCGCTAATCAGACATTCATCGACTTCATCGAATTTCGAGCACACATTTTTTATGCTAACGGGATTGTGCACTGATTCAAATGCCGCTCATTTCGATTGAATTGAGATATTGGACTTATAAAAGTAGACTCATGAAAACGGACAAACAGTTTGAAATAAATCTGTATAGTATATCCAATACCAATTGGAACAGCACAGATAAGGAATTCCCGCCTCGACATAGGCGTCGGCATATTATTTTTCAGTGGTAGTTTTTCAGTAACTTATTCTTACAATCATAGCAATTGATCACCTCATGAAAAAGTTATCTCAAATGAATTTTTCCACCTTCCACCATGGGTAATTATGAAAAACTTCGAAATAAAAGGTAGTTCATTTCCGAGTCGAAAACTCTGAAATACAATGAAAACACAAATAATCACACCGAATTCTCGTCAAACATGTATTTACAAAATAATAGAGGACAACAAAATTGCTAGAAAAATCAAAATTCTTCTTCGCTATATTCGTATGAGGTGGAATCATCATCGTGTTGAATAACGATCGGATTTATGGAACTTTGCACATAATATTTGTTCTCTTCTTTTATAACGTGGGCCACACAGTTCTTCCACAATTCACCTACTTCTTTCACCACTCGGCTTATATTGTCAGGATTCAAAGTCGGTGACATTACATTTCCGCAAGCTTTCTTTCATTGTGGCCCAAACCATTTCAATTGGATTGAACACACAATAGAATGGAGGCAAACGTAAGAGAATATGACCACGTGTTTCACACATCGAATCAATAATATACCCTTTTTTGAAATTACGTTTTCCCCTTGAAGAAGGTGTGTTCAAAGCACAATACTTGGTTTCGTCTACTCAGCCATATTTGTCAACATCATGGGTGTCAAACCAAGTTTCGTAGAGGTACATTATATGTCTGCTGGATTTTCGGTAGCTTTTCATTCGCCTCAAATATTCTAGTCGGAGTTGAACAATGCGTGTCGATTCCATTATGACCAACGGTTTGTTCAATTTTTTATATTTGAAAACACAAGACAGTAAGACACCTCATAGAGTTTCTAAAGATTTGTAATTGTAATCGGGATAGTCGAGTAATTTATACCAAATCATTTCCAAGGTTAGTATTTCATTTTTTTGGTATATACCATAAATTGTTCGCCGAATCACATCTTCTGTAGCACCATCAACGTTTGCGAATATTTTATTTCTTTGTTTTCGTTTCATTGCATGGTCAATGACATCCCCTATTTTAATGACTCGAAGAACTGTCGAACGAGATAGTTTCGTTAACTCGCATATTCTATTCACAATAGCATTCTGTGAAGTGTGACAGTTTTCCTTCTTCAAGCATTCATGAATATTTAAAATTACTCGCTGAACTTGAACATGTAAGTCCTTATTTCCAAATTCCAGATCCCTGTCTATTGACACAGATTCCTCACATGTAATGTTATCATTTGTTTCAAAAGGTATCCAGAAAGCCATATTAATGGAAGTACCCAAAAACACTAAGATTTTCACAAAAA